GATGCTCCAGAACAGTCATTTGATGAGGTATTTGAAAAATTTAAAAGCAGGCGTATTTTATTCTTCTAGATCTATCTAATGTGCTAATTAAATTTACCCTGAACCTTGTAGTAATGTTTGAATAGAATCGCCATTTCCTCCCGGTGCTGCAAGTTAGTTGATGAGGTATTTGAAAAATTTAAAAGCAGGCGTATTTTATTCTTCGAGATCTATCTAATGTGCTAATTAAATTTACCCAGGGTAAATTTAATTAGCACATTAGATAGATCTCGAAGAATAAAATACGCCTGCTTTTAAATTTTTCAAATACCTCATCAAATGACTGTTCTGGAGCATCTCAAAGATTGCATTTTACTATTGATTACTGGCATTGAAATAGATTTTGAATTTATTATTTGTTGCAGTAATTGTCTATGGCAGTAATCAATAGTAAAATGCAATCTTTGAGATGCTCCAGAACAGTCATTTGATGAGGTATTTGAAAAATTTAAAAGCAGGCGTATTTTATTCTTCTAGATCTATCTAATGTGCTAATTAAATTTACCCTGAACCTTGTAGTAATGTTTGAATAGAATCGCCATTTCCTCCCGGTGCTGCAAGTTAGCAAAAATTTGTAAAATTATATATTAATAGAGATTTGAATCATCTACATTTTGCATATCATAACATTGGTCTAGTTCATTTGGTTTAATTTTAAAAATTAATAGAAATTTGGTTTTACTGAGGTATCGGGCCTCCCAGTGCTAAAACTAAACATTTTAGGGAAAATCTATCAAGGGCGTGTATTCTTTGATTTTGATTCTCTTTCGAATGGTACCCGTGGTAAACACGTGGGCCGGTAGTTCTGTTACGTATTGGTCGCTGATTTCGAGGGATAGGAACTTCTTTTTATCATCTTTGTATTTGTTTAGAGAATTATTGATCTTGATAAATGCCGAGGTTATGTTTAGCGAGCCGTACCCTGTGCATGATATTTTGCGCCTAGGTCCCGGTATGGTCTCGTCAATGGTATCGCAACTGCATTGATCCATATCACTGTAATCCGGGCACGTTTGCGAGTGATCGTCACAATATATTACTGCAATCAGATATGCGAGTAATATGATCAGTATGTTAGCTAGTCAAATAAATTTTATAATTATTTTTGCTGTGGATTAAATTTATTTTAATTTACTTACACGGACTAATCATTTTGATAGTTAATTTTTATTTAGTATTTGTATATTATATAAACTGAAGCATTAAGTTTGCAAGTATAGTATAATAGCAACTTTAAAATATTTAGCATTTAAAAAATAATAAAATTAATTACGAAAATTTAATCTGAATAAACAATTTTAAACCTTTGTTTTACACTTGAATAAATAATTAGAGATATTAGACGTTTAATATATTTTTAAGTTGTAAAGTTTACGATACCACATAATTAGCATGCTGAATAAACACAATTGCATAATAATAAACACAATTACATAATTATATTATAATAAAGTTAATTTCTAAATTAAAGTCTATGATAAACAAATTAAAACCTTAAATACCAATGTAATATTAAAGTTAAAATGTAATAATTTAACTTGGTAAATATGTAGTATTTTTATAATAAACTTATATAATATCAAACTAAAATTGTTAATAGCTAATTCTGGTGATTACATATTTATTCAAAATTGCATTTAGTAAAATAATTTTAAAAATAAAATAGAAATTTAGAATTATATGTTTAATTTATTTTATAATTTATAGTTATCATTATAAATAAATCAAAATTTTGCGAATCATTTTTGTCGATAAATATTTATTGATAATTTCAAATTGGGCTTGGAAATTTATAAAATATTTATTAGATATCTTGGTCATCCATTAAACTTTACAACAAAAATTTAAAATATTAAGATAACATAAATTAATTACTTCAACTTAAATTAGCGTTTCAAATTGAAGTATTGTTACAAATAATACTTATTTTTAATAATTATCTTAATTAAATGCATAAAATCACCATAATATGCATAATACTGTTTCTAATTGAGCTTACACTTTTTCTCAATCTGATAAACTGTGCTAATTATAATAATCTGCGATACGGTACTTCATAGTAATGCCAATAAACAAATAAATTCATTTACACTACAATTAATGTCTATTTCCCACATTTGTATATTATAGTGAAAACATTGTAATATTTAACACATTAATTTATACGATATGTAGAAATCAATGCAAATTATGTCAAATGAGGTCTTGTTTTTGCAATTAATTAAATGCAGTGATTATTGTTAACTGAATTCACTTCATATGAATGAATAATTATTTTTAATCAAAAAGTTATATAAAAATTATTATGACAAATATATTAAATTACAACAATCAAAATATATTTAATAAAGTATTACAATATCCAATCAGTTACTAGCTGAGAAGTATTTTCAAATCGTCTAGGTGATTTCACAGGGTATTCATTAACCACATGATATTCACTCTCGAGGGCACGTTTTCTATGGTCGGCCACTTGAGACCATTGATTAACATTAGGGTCCATATTGATAGCACAGTTAGGTTGGGTGTTTGGTGTTAATGTTGAAACACTTGATTTAAAATATAGATCAATATCATCAGTCATTTCAGGTATATCTAAGTGTAGTGTAGGTGCTGTTGGGTTCAAACATATCTCTGAATTGTTTGTTTGTGTTATTTCATCATATGTTTTAAATAAGGCTTTGATTTCATCGGTTAACTCAGGTATGTCGTTTTTAAGTGTAGGCGGTGTTTGAGTTAAAATTATTTCTGGTTGAGTATGGCCTGTATTAAAGGTCGGCCTTTCGTCGTCAGGTATTTTAGGTATGTTTGGGTTGACTGTGAGAGCCGTTGGACTTAAATCTTTCGATGAATTGTTTGTATTGTTTGCTAAATTGGTTTTCATTAATAAGTATTTATAGAAGAAATTGAAATCAAATTCTTGTGAATCCATGGATTGAATGTGTGTTTGAAATGTGGAAATCATTTCTTCGGTTATTAGGATATTATGCGCGAAAATGTCGTTAAACTCATTGACCATATCCTCGACCGAAGGCATAATTTTATTTGTATTGTCCTTATCATTTAAATAATCTTTAATTGTATCAATTTGTATACCCTGGTCAGTCGGAATGATGTCTCTAAATGATATTATTTTACAAATTATATTTAAGCAATAAAATTATACTCACTTTCTGTAAATACTGTAAATACTTCTTGTAAATATATCATCAATTTTTTCCCGATAATAACTATAATAACAATTACGCAGAGATCTGGGTGCTTTTGGCCTATAGCTTGCGTTTACCCTGATACATCTGCCATACTTCATATTAGTGTCAATTATAATATGATATTTATTCAAATCAAAATTATCTAATATTTGCCACATTTTCTGATAATATTTAAGACATTGTAAGAGTTCTCGCATTAATTCACAAGATATATACAAATCCATGCAAATCATGTCAACATAGGTCTGGTTTTTGAAAATTTCATTTTTTCTATGAATTAACTCTTGTAAGTCTATTGAATTAAATTCACTTTGAAGGTTTATATGATTATTTTCAATCCAAATGTTGTAATATTCGGCGGATAAATGCGAATTTGTGTCAAATATCTTGTTAAGACGAATAAGTAATTTATTCCTGGTTTTGACAGTATCTAAGTATAGAGGCATATAATACGGTATAAATATATACCAGTAATACATACTAGACCAAATAAATCGAAATAAATGTGAAAAACTATTGCTTTAATACGAAAACGGTGATTTATTATTTATTCACATTTATTTCGGTTTCTGTGTACAGACATGGTTATTTCATATATGTAATAATTATTATAATTTATATTCTTACTTGGTACTGCCATTCGGAATAAATCGTACACATGCCCTGATGATTCATGTATATATGATCTTTTAATTAGAATATCGTCATCGAAACCAGAGTATTTAAACATGGATAGATTTATTTCACTTGTTTCTAATTGATAAATAATATTTATTTTTCCATAAAATTTTTATTTGTATTAAAACAAACCAAATCGTATTTTCTGAGTATTGCTTCGTATTAAACAAAATGGTTGACTTCGCTTAAATATTTTCCAAATATGATTGTCATTAATATTAGTTTCAATTGATTTCCACTCATATTCTCCAATAATTGGTTTATTTTTATTTGTGATAATTGTCTGCAATTGCGATAAAATGTGCGAACATTCGGGTCTTTGCCTCCAATCTGGTGAACCGTTTCGTGAATATTGATTGACAGCCATTGACACCAATAATGCATTCATTTTAATAGTAAAGTCATTCAAATTTTTAACATATTTTCCAATTGTATAAATTCTATAAAAGTTGAAATTACTTTTAAACTTGTAAAAATTAATTTATTTACAATAGTTATGTAATATAAACATACTTTCCCTCAATTATATCGTATGTATCGAAACCAAATAATTGAGCCCCGATTAGGGATAGACTGTAGATATCAATCAAATGATTGTAATCCTTAGTCTGAGCTTCAGGTGCCATATAGTCTACAGTTCCCACATCTGCCGTGTGCTTAGCTTTAGACATAAGAAACTGATCACAATTTAGGACCTCTTTAGCCAAACCAAAGTCACATAACTTTATCTCTCCGTCCATTGAAATCAACACATTATCCGGTTTGAGGTCTCTGTGAATGATTTGCGGATTCATTTCATGCAAATATTGCACACATTCTATTAGTTCTTGAAATATTTTATATGATATATAAAAATCAAAATTATTCATCAGTTTACTAATAAATGATTTCTTGATTTCCAACAGATTCTTGAGATTATCGATACATAACTCCATTTGAAAGTAAAGACAATTATCACAAATAAAAATAAACCAATTATTGGAGAATATGAGTGGAATTTGAAAGTAAAGACAATTGCATTCAATCCATGAATAGTAGTATTGAATCACAAATTTTGAACGAACTTTGATTAGACTTTGGGTTTCATTCAAAACGTTTTGTCTCTCTTTTTCTGATAAACCTTTAAATAATAAATTTATTAACGTATTAAATATATAAATAATTTAATCAATATTAAAATAATTTACCATTTAATTCACATTTCTTCAAAGCATATAATTTATTGTTATATTTGTCACAAATTTTGTATACTTTCCCAAAAGCACCCTCACCAATTATAGAGATATTTTTAAAACTTGTATCTAAATTTACTGGATTATCGAATTTTCCTAAATTAATAAATATTAACAATTAAAGTAAAATAAGTAAACAAAATTTATTGCATAAATGTTTCAATAAATAAAAATTTACCATTATTTTGTGCTTGCTTAATTAATAAATGTTCTTGATTTTGTGAAATATTTGTGGCAATTGTATTAAAAGTAAGTTTTAATTCATGTGAATAGAAATCATTAAATGTTGTAAAATTTGTTTCCATTATTCTTGATAAACTAAACTGGTAGACTTTATTATCAGAAATACCAGTTATTAATGATATGTCTTTCTTATGTGAATATATTTGTGTGATTTCAGTGAACTTAATTCTTGTGTTTATTGGTTTCATTTTTTTGTATCGAAAATCATATGAATTTAAGAATCCATCGTTTGATAACAAATACACGAAGTTTTTGTTAATACAAATATTCATAATATTATATGTATTTTCAAGTTTAATTGTACCTATGTTTTTGAAATCACTTTTATCACCCCATATAAGCACCTGACCCACCGATGTAATGGCAAATGATGTCGATGCATAACATTTAATTTTTGTAATTTTGTATTCAAATGGGAATATAATTTCTAAAGGTTTTGTTATAAAATTTATTATATCCTTGTTGCAAACAATTTGTCCATGATCATTTTTACCCCATCCAAATACTCGCCCATTTGATGTCAACACTAATGTGTGATAAAAACCACAACTTATTTCACTAATTATTAAATCATTTGTTGAGAAAAATGAAATGATGTCCGCTTTATGATAGCGATCCCTATCCAAATCCCGTCCCAATTGTCCCCAACTATTCCAACCAAAACTGAATACCTGTTTATTTGTATTGACAGCCAATACAAAGGTCTTTCCGTTGAAAAATTGTTGTATATTTTTGTGGTGCAGTTCCGACATTTCTTCCGGTGTTTCAATGGGTGTGTTGAGTCTTAACACGAGCTGACCCCACGAATTAGATGCCAATCCATAAACCAAATCATTTAATGTCACAAACAGAGTGCTATATCCTTCATGATAATCGAAAACGTAAAGCAATTTAATTTTATGTCTTAAATCTTGTGGTATTTTATCACAAATTTTATAATTATCTAAAACCGATGACATTACTAAAGAAATTAATTCAAATTTTAAGTTTAATAAATTCACTTTCAGCAATATTTATTATTATCACTAATTATATTGAATAAAACTAATTATGTCTACACATTAGAAAAATAATAAAAGTATTTTTAAAAATGTTAATTTATTGAAATTATTTCTAAATTATGTTATTAAATAATATTAATGTTTAAATTAATAATTAATTTTAACTTCATAAATATTATTTGAAAATGGAGTTTATATAAAACATATTACTTATTATTTAACATAAACTAACTTATAGTAAATGTTGTTTAGATATAAAAGACATGATAATTGCCAAGTAATTGCATAAAGGTATTTGTGATACAATTAATAAGACTAAGCAATGTATACATTCATTTTTAAAAATACATTATTTTGAACTCAAACGCTATAATATAATATTATTTTATATAACTAAAAGTGATAATTGCTATATCAATATGATTATTATAAATGTTGTATTTATATAACTAAGATTTGAAATTAATTACAATCTGAATGAAAATAATTTATAATTAATACTTTTTACTTTTATACTGTATATTTATAGAAAAATAATTAAATAAGCCTAATTATAATAAAAGTTAAATAATTATTGTCAAGCAGTATTTTTAGATAATATCGAAATAAATTATATAAAAGTGTTTTAATAAATATAATATAAAAATTGACAACATATTATATTTTTATAGTCCAATGTATGAGAATTTTAATAAAAACCTTAAAATTAAGACATAATTACGTAAAACTACTGTAGAGGGAAAGGCTGCACAGTATGACTGAGCGTATGGTCCCGTTGTTCACGCATTTCCCGCATCAGAGGTACAGCGCGTGGATCGCCTCCCAAACCCCCATCAACGCTGTCTACAAGATAACGTGAGCCCCAACCCGACAGATAAGGGCACTGGTGTGCGGGGTTAGCAATGAGACAGACTGGCGGCAAACATACCGACACTGGCCATACATGCATTGCACATACGAGGGAACGGGTGGTCCGAGAATGTGGTTATGAGGGGGCGAACGGCCAAAGATTTGGAGGGAAGGGGTTGTGTTTGTGGGGAACGCAGTGGTCGGACAGTTCAGGACATGTAGTACAGGTGTTGGGTACCAATCATTCACTACTCAGTCTACGGGAGTGACACGAAAGAGTAGACACACATATAGCCCACGATTAGTAATATTATTGCATTTGATTCACAATTTTGTTAATAACTTATCTATGATATGCTAAATGTTTATAATCACATAGTGTTTACAACATTGAACTCCTTGTCTCGTAAAGACATTCAGTGTTAATCATTTATAATGCATAGAAATCTAATGTTGTAAATTAGTATAATATTAAGTTAGGTAATATAACTATTTTAGTGGATTTTCAAAATTATGTGCATGCCTGATTATATTATTTAATAAATATAATTCATTTTACAATTACTGGAATGTTATAAATAAGGAAATGAATGTACATGTTTAAAAATAGTTTTATGTTTGTACTTATTTCAATAGCATTTGCTGTTAAATTTTAAAGTTAAATTTTATTAAAATATTTTTCAATCGGAATACTATATTATGTTTTGATAATTTTAATTGAAAAATTTCGAGTATAATAACTTCCACACAATATCCAATCAATACGTTAAGTCAGATGGTCTTGGTGCTTTAGTAGGCTGTCCAGTTTCCATATGATATCCACTCTCAAGTGTACGCTTTCTATGGTCTACAACACCAGTCCATTGTTGAACATTGGGGTCCATATCGAGAGCACACGATGTTTGGGTGTTTAGGGCTAGAGTCTCATCACATGTCTGAAAAAAGATCTCGATTTCATTGGTTAGTTCAGGTATTTGTATGACAGGTGTAGGCGCTGTTTGAGTTAAATCTTTATGTGGTTGTGTTTTTGATTGATTTGGGGTTTTATCAGAGGTTAACCTATCTGGATGATCGCACTTATCTAAATTAATGTTTTAACAATTAATGTAAAATAAGTGGACAAAATATATTGCAAAAGTGTGTTACCAAATAAATACACCAATGGACAAGCGAAACTGGTGTCGGTTATTTGCATATATCTCTTAAACGCGGATTTGGATTTCAGATGTGACTTCAGATTTAGAAACTAGAATAAATGAACAATTTTTTGGTATATAGGATTATATTTTTAACTTACCCGGTCATAAAGAAATTTAATGTTGAATATTGACAAGAATATTTTCGGAATCCTCATAGAAAATACATGGG